TTTAAAATTTAAACTGTTTTCAACTGAAACATGCACAACAATACAATATTAATGGGAGCATATGTTTATTTTATATAACTAAAAGAACTCACTTTTTTTCTTTTCCCCGATATGGGATTGTGTAAAATAAAAATTAATAATTATTTGGGCGGGAAGTTTATTTTGAATTAAACAATATCAATTATTTAATCTTTAATTAGGTCAATCTTTAGTTTATTTTGAATCGAACAAATCTAACCAATATATTTTGATAAAATCGCTAAAATCACAGTTAAACCAGCGAATCAACCAAATCGAAAACGGTTCAGCCTAATCGGCTATGTCAAAAGACCAACCAACTTCTACAAAAATTAATTATTTAAAATTTTTAAATGTTATTTTAATTTTAAAATTTAAACTATTTTGAAATGAAACATGCATAACAGTGTAATATTAAATAAGAGTATAAAGTTTATTTTATATAAGTGAAACAACTCACTTTTTTTTTTCCCAATGTGGGATTGTAAAATAAAAATTAACAATTGTTTGGGTGGACGTTTATTTCTAATCAATCAATCAGTAGTTCAATATTTAATTTATGTCGAATCAAACAAATTTAACCAATATATTTTAATAAAACTGTTAAAATCACGGTTAAACTAGCAAATCTGTCAAACTAAAAATAATTCAACCTAATTGGCTAGGTCAAAACACCAACCAACTTACAAAAAAATTAATTAATTAAAACTTTAAATTATTTTGAACTGAAATATGCACAATACTACAATATTAAATTGGAGTATAAAATTTACTTTATATAAGTGAAACAACTCACTTTTTCCTTCTTCATATTATAAACTAATTAGAGTTTTTATTTTAAAATTTAAACTGTCTTGAACTGAATTATGCACAATACTATAATATTAATTGGGAGTATAAGATTTACTTTATATAAGTGAAACAACTCATTTTTTTTTCTTCTCCTGATATAAGATTATAAATAAATCATAAATTAATTGGAGTTTCATTTTTATGTAGTTAAATGAAAGCTAACCGATAAATTTTTTTTAAATTGTTTAAAATTAAGAAAATCAATATGAAAAATCGCGGTTAAACTGCCAAATCAGTCAAACCGAAAACAGCTCAACCTAATCAGTTAGATCAAATGACCAACCAACTTATACAAAAATTAATTAATTAAAACTTTTAAATGTTATTTTAACTCTAAAATTTAAATTGTCTTAAATTGAAACATGCACAATACTACAATATTAAGGTTCACTTTATATAAGTGAAACAACTCACTTTTTTCTTCTTTTTCCGATGTGGATTATAAAATAAGAAATAACAATTATTTGAGACGGGAAGTTTATTTCTAATCAAACAATCTCAATCATTTAATCTTTAATTAGATCAATTTTTAGTTTATTTCGAATTAAACAAATCCAATCAATATATTTTGATAAAATCACTAAAAAATCACAGGTAGTTTATTTCGAATCAAACAAATCTAATTAATATATTTTGATAAAATCGCTAAAAAATCACGGTTAAACCAACAAATCAATTAAATAAAAAATGATACAGTCTAATCGGCTAGGTTACAATATTAATAAGTCTGTTTGAATATCTAATTTTTAGTTTTTTTTAATGTTATAATATAATATATAAGATATAGATAAATACTCATAACTCTCATGAAAAATAGTATCTGATTTTTTTTAGGAGATAGAAGGAAAACAAATTTTAATATTTTCTTTTGAAAATCGGTGAAAGAGATTAGGATTGAGAGATTATAAAATATTTTTGTTATCTTCACATTTGAAATTCATAAATTAAGGGTAATTATTATTTCTAAAATAATTAAATAAATAAATCAGCCAATAAATTTTTTAATCTATTTTATAAATTAAAAAATCAATAATTTTAAAATAAGAGTTTAGAATTTTTAGAAAGTTTCTCATTAAAAACTCATTTTTCCATGTATAATGTATAGATAGGTCGATAGATAGATAAGAATTACTTGCTCTTAATAGTATACCTTTTTTGGTGGAATGAAGGTGTTGTTTGGTGCAGTTTGTTGTAAGTTAAAAGTTAATAACTAGAAAGTAGAAATCAAGAGCACCCATTTCCTAACTTCTAAATAATCAACTCTTCTCAATTTATTTAAGTCATTTTTACTAAACAGTTATAAACAAAAATTATACTAAACAGTCTGATATAAATTTTTAAATTAAAATAAATTATAATCACCTATATAATTCACGCTAAATACCCCGAAGTCCTTATCATTAGTGAAAAAATATATATAGATATATATATATATACATATTGACAGGGCTGCTGTAAGGTGGCCCAACTTTAACATATTTGTGGCTGGCGATGCCCATTGAAATCTAGCTAGTATATTAAATATACGGAAAATGAATGGGAGTACTAATTAGTGCTACCACTAATGAGGTGGTAGTGGGTGGGACCCACTGTCACAATGTTTTTGTGCCTTATTTTTTTTTTTAAAAAAAAAAAGTGGGTACCAACTCATTAGTAGTGCTTTAGAGTATCACTTTTAGTGAGATGTAACATTACTGTTAAACATACCCTAATCCCTAAGGGTCTATTGTTTAATAAATAAGGGTCTATTGTTTCACTTTATGAACCAATGGTTCAACCTAAGCTTTAATTGCACAACATTTTGAAGGAGATAGCAGCCATCAAAAGAGATAAAAGAAACCCAAGAAGGAACTCTGTCAATCTCATCGGTCAATGGGAACACAAGTCAAGATGCATTTATCTGTTAGGTTGAGTTCTCATTTTGAATTTGAAAAGAAAATTTTTATTTTTATTTAAAAAAAAAAAAAGAAGAAGAAGAAGGAGAAGAGGAGAGAGATAAATGTATATAATATAAGCTATACTTATTTATTTATTTATATTTCTCTTCTTTTTTCTCTTTTTGTTCACAAATACATACAAACACAATTTCATTCTAATATTTTACGAAAGAAAAAAGATTGGGACCTCTAATTTGAGAATTTCCATGACTCTCAAATATGTGTGATTAGTTTATGTGTATTTTTGTTTTTGTTTTTTTTATTCATTTTTTTTCCTTTATCTCTCTTACATAGGATGATGTGGGGGTTGTGAAGTAAAATTTTTGTCGAGTCTCTATCATTATACTTTACAAAATGCTTTAACTTGCGTGTTGTTTTTTTTTTTTAGATTCGAAATAATATCTAGCATACTCTTAAAGACATGAGAAAGGAGAGCTGCTAAACTCTCATTTGGGATGAAATTTTTTAGCTTGGCTGTTTAGTTATTTTAACATAACTAAAAAAGTTGTGTTTGAGATGAATTTTAATTTTAATTTTAATTTTTTTTATGATTAATTTGATGGTTGTAAGAGAAAATATAAAATAATTATAATTTGAATATGACATTTTACCTTATTAATTGTTTTAAATTTTTTTTTGTTTTTATTGACTATTATAATAAAAAATAAAAAATTCATCCCAACAAACTATAAGACAGACAGACAAGCCCATCACAAAATAAAAGTTTGGGCAAATTACACTAACAGTCCCTATAATTTAAAACTTGTGTCATTTTAATCCCTGACTTTTCAATTGTGACACATTTGACCCTAAATTTTGAATCTTGTTCCAAATAAGGACAATTGAATATATCAATGATCAATTTCAAGGGCAAATTGTTAATTTAATAAAATATAAACTAATTTGACCAAAATAAATGTCAAAAAGATATTTTTGAATTTTTAAAAATTATTTCTACTCACCAAAGATAAAATTATGTAAAATTAATAATTTTTTTATACATTTATCAATTTATTTATTTTACCAAATTAATTTTTATTATGTGTTTGGATGATGATTATGTAATGGGTTGTTGTTTTTATTTTCATTAAATTAGTTTCTATTTTTCCAAAAGTCAAATATGGCAGCAACTTTAATATCATTATTAAACCAATCCATTAAATCAAAAAATTTCAAAACTAAAAACATTTCATATATTAAATGTATCGATTATACATTAAAAGCCTAACAACCACCCATTACATGATCATCAACTAAATACATAATAAAAATTAATTTGGTAAAATAAATAAATAAATATGTTAAAGATTTATAAATTTTACATAATTTTATCTTTGGTGTGTAAAAATAATTTTTAAAAATTCAAAAATATTTTTTTGACATTTATTTTTGTTAAATTCGTTTATATTTTATCAAATTGACGATTTTGCCCTTGAAGTTGAACAATGATATCTTCAATTGTCCTTATTTGGAACAAGATTCAAAATTCAGGATCAAATGTGTCACAATTGAAAAGTCAGGAATCAAAGTGACACAAAGCCCAAACTATAGGGATCGTTAATATAATTCACCCTAAAAGTTTTAAGATGGACAAGTCCAAAAGGATTTTAATTAAATAATGCATTCGCACCCCATTTCATCACATGTGATAGACTAATCTGAAAGAATGGGATTATTATTCAGTATGTTTAGAATATGAATACGTGATACTTTATAAAGTTTTAATTGGTAAAGAGAAATAGGAGCCCACAATTTATGTTGGACATCGAAAAAATAGAAACTAAATAATTGATGATTGACTTGGAGTATGACCACGTAATATTCCGAATTATTAAATAATTTCCCAAAAGAATGAGACATTCACACATAATATTTCTTCTTATTAAATTCTGATAAAAAAAATATATTATGTGCACAAAATTAATATATAAAAAAGTGCATAGAAAATATAATTGAGATTTATCTAAAGTGTTTCCCGCGCCACACTAACGATAAATTTCAGTCACCAACTGCATTATATCAATTCGTACATAAAATCTATTGATGAACATACAACTCATCATACCATTACCATTTATGAATTGGAAAAAGTGGGGAAAAAAAAATATATATATATATATACACATATATATTATAATCTAATTCACTTCAAGCCTCATAATAAAACTTGAATTACTATTTTGCGATCACCAATGGAACGAACAAAGAAGAATGATGGATTAAATATTAACATTAAACATTCTGGTGGATACGATTACAAACATTCTGGTTTTACACATGATGAGAAAAACAATTATGTACAAAATGCACAAACAATGGTTGGGACATCTTAGTAACTTATTTACAAGAAGTTCCATTGCCAATAGACCTTCTCTACAATCCCACCTCCACTTCGAACGGCAAGGTGGAGTGTTTCAGAAGCAGGAGGAACCCCCCAAAGTAGAGGCACAGCGACAGTCATGGTTAGCTTTTCATGCAAACCGCCCTTACTTGCCTTTTCTGCAGCAACAATCTGGAGAAACAAACATTTGAAACGTGAAACATGATATAATTAGATGTTTGAGGTACGCTTCCTCAACTAACAATACAAACCAAGAAAGAAAACTATACATTGTATTTATACTGTCAAATAGCCTTTGTTTCGGAATCATAAAAATGCAATAACAGGGCTTATTGACCAATATAAATATCCATATATCATGGGAACAGGTTTTATGAACCCTACTAGAATAGTTTTTTGGGACAACAGATATTAGACAGGGAAACTCTCCTATATCTAGGCACGGGGCGTTACTCTCTGTGTAGTGAATTCACATTATTATCTATATATACATGTTACTATTTTTAAGTTTTGGGTCTTCATGAAATAACCAACACAGTGAAAAAAACAAAATATGGTAATATTGCAACTTCCGTAACAAAAATAATAACGCACTTAATATTCACTTTCATAAAGTAACAATGGTGGAAACTCTTTTAAGCATCCAAGCATATGTCAGGCATATGTGGATACCAGTGCTATGACACAGAGATGGACAGGTGCCAAAATGATTTCCAAAAAAAGAAAGAGGGGGGGGAAGTGATGCATACCTCCCCACCATGCTCCAAAACAGTGTCTTCCACAACATCACTTAGCATTTCTACAGAACGACAGAACCCTAGGATACAAAGCCTTCTGCCCATATCAAGTCCCTACATGACCAAATTTCAATATACATTAGACAAAGCTCTTAAGATGAAGAGGTTGTGGAGAAAATATTGTATCATTTAGTTACATTTGTTGCTGCAATATCAAAGAGTGCACCCAGACATAGGCCTTGATTTGGATCCATATAATCACTCTCCTGAAAGCGTTGGAATCTTTGAGAAGTTTTTGACTTCCCTTGCTTCTTCTGCATACCAAAAATATATGTCCATTACCAAGCTGTGGCCTAACTCAACAATGAGATGAGGTGTTAAAATTACAAAATGAAAGATAAATCAAGATGCAATATACGGTCTTAAGTGCCACATCTGTCATACTCAGAAATTCATATATTATCTCCGTATATCTTTCACGAAACTAGGAAGGTCAATTTTCAAGTGCAATAGAAAACTGATGCAAGAATAGTTGGAGTCATTCTGATTTACATGTGCACACAATAGACCACCAAGTAAAACATAAATCATGGAAAACTTAGTAAACACAAGTATTTTCAGGAAGTGAGAAGTCAGAAACCAGATACTAATGGGAAAGTTGAATTTGCTGGAGTCATTCCAATTGCATCCTGTTTTCCAACCATAACTGACTAATAAAAAATAATCACTAAAAGCACCAATTATAGAGCAAACATTATTAACTTTACCTTGAACGTAACTATCCACAAAATTACAGATCTTTAGAAGCTAAAATTAAGTAATTAACATACATCTGAAGAAGGGATGCGCCGAGGGACCAAAGAGCCTCCAATCTGAATGAGTCCGTCAGAAGTGAACAATGTGACTCGTTCCTCAGGAACCCACTGAATATCTGTAAATGCAGCAACAGAAGAATTCTCAAAATGTTGCAAGAAAACTTTAAGAAAAAAAGTTATATGTTCTCAGTCTGAGTTGTGAAAACCCTCTGCATAAGTTTTAATTTATAAAAAATATAAATAAATAAACAATAAAGTAAAACACTTCATACACGATAGACAGTGAAGCAACGCAGTAACGAATCTGGATTTGATTATCTATGCCAAGCCATTAAACATACCACAGTTTGTTAACTACATGCAAGAAAGCTTGAAATAAAATTGACAATCAACAAATTCCAACCCACACCAAATACATATATATATAATATACTGCCAACATCTTCAACCCCCTTATAAGTCCTTGTCAACCCATGTTACAAACAGGATAAGAGGATTGCAGGAGAGTGAACTATGGATGTCAACCCATGTTACAAACAGGATAAGAGGATTGCAGGAGAGTGAACTATGGACTACAGATAAATAGGCAGCACATTCTAAAACTTGTTTTCCAATGCTCCCATCAAAAACGAATCTAAAGACATTAACATTTGAAAGCAGAAAAAACACAGGAAAGTTGATTAAGAAAATATCACAAGTTCAGATCTGAGAGAAATATATGAAATTCCAAGTCTCTTTCTTTTCCTGTAATTTCTCCACAAAGAAACCAAGTAAATAAACAATAGCCTGTTTACGTTACAGGCACTGATTGTGTTTAGATGGGCTAAAACGAACCTGATACAATATCTATATCCAATCTAGCATTTGAATGTGTTAAAACCTCATATGGTACTTTGGATGTCTAATCCTCCAGGTTTATGCATCACCTCTTCAAGGGACATAATCATACATATAATGCATGGCTATCCAAGTCTTTGGATAACGAAAACAATTGTCAGTCTTTCTGTTTAAACTTCCCACTTCCAACTAAAAATCTCTCCCTTCACTTGTCACGGACTGGGCAATTATCATCCTCCCGAGAAACCGGCTTCACAAGTGGTATTGCATACCCTGTGCATTAAGCCCAAGGATCCAACCCAGGTGAAGTGATAGGGATCTACACTTAGTTGCACAAAGCGGGAGCGGGGGAACGTTGCCACTTAGAGGAGTTATAGATTAGGAGCGCTCACGGAGTGATAATGGAGTGATATTATTATATATGATTTAATTAGATTTCTTTTAAACAATTAGATGATTTGTTTTATTTATTATCCGTTAAAAAGTTAAGAAATAATAATTTACAAAAATTATTATATACGATATTTTAAGAAATAACAATTAGATATATTATTATGTAGTAGTTTGGGAAGTGCTAAATAAGTATACTTTTTTACTTTTTAAGAAAAATATGTATAGAAAAGTGAAGATGTGATGTGACCCATAAAAATAATTAAGTATATTTTTTTACTTTTTACAAAAAGATATGTAGAAAAATAGAGATGTGATGTGACTCAAAAAAGATAAAAAATTAAAAGTGAGCTAATATAGCACTTCCCAAACAACCCTTATATATGATAAAAATTATAATTTATAAATTATATTATATATGATCAATTATATTATATGAAGTAAATTATATTGAAACAGACAAAGAGAGAGAGAGAGAGAGAGAGCAGAGAACAAATCGAGAGACGAAGAGAGAGAGAAACTCAGAGATGAAGAGGGAGAGAAGCTCAAGAGAGAGAAGCTTAGAGACGAAGAGGCGATCGAGAGTAAGAAGAGAGAGAGAGACGAAGACAATCGAGATTGACAGTGAGAGAAGAGAGTGACGAAGATGATCAAAGAGAGAAAAAGAATGAGAGACAGAGAGATCGAGAAGAAAAGACACAGAAAACAAGAGGTAGAGAGAGAAGAAGATCGAGAGACAGAGAGATCGAGAGTGAGGTCGAGATCGAGAGCTCGAGATCTTGATCGCTTCCTTCTCGCATCAGATTCGTGTTTCTCACTTCTAAACTCGCGATTCTTTTTCGATTCTTCCTCAGAAGAGCAAAATTGCGCTTCTTCCTCAGATTCGTAAATATCATCCACGATTCCTACTACGAAGGATCTACCTTGTCTGCCTTGTTGCTCACACACTTATGCACTTGCAAGGTGGTTGGTGTAGAACTTGTATTACCAATGAATCTGTACGTGACATGCTACCATTGTCAATCCCTAATGCCCTCATCATGGAGACATTACCCTACCTGCCTTTATGCTTGTCTATTTCCCTACCCATGGGAACCTGCCCCATATGTACACCAGCCTTAGTGCGGACCCCACAATGAAGGTGCTTGATGTAAGTCCCATGTACCATCCCTATCACAGTGCCCCTAGTTTGGCTCTGATACCGCTTGTCACGAACTCTCTCTCTCTCTCTCTCACACACACACACACACAAAAAAAAAATCCACAAAAGTATATACAAAGCAGCTAGCATGGCAATAGGGATACCTTTGACCCGAATCCATGCACTTGCAGTGCTATATTGGGTATATAAATTACAAGTTGCTCCAACCTGAATTAGCTAATATAGAGATTACCAAATATATTGAAAATGCTTTGAAAGTCAACCCCACCTTCCTCTTGGTAGTTGTTATCCACTAAATGGGTACCCTCACAAAAGAAAATATGCATTCAAGTGCCTACAATGATGGCTTTAATTTCACATTTTTTTACAAAAAATAATAGACAATACCTTACCAGAGCATTTATTCAAAACAGAGAGATTTCTCTATCTCTTTTCATTATGTGAAAATTTGGGCAGAGAAACTTTGGAAAATTTTGCTTCAGGATGTTATCTCCATTGATAATAGCTTTTTTATTTTTAAAGTAAAAAGTGAAGAGGCTAAGGACAAAATTTTGGAAGATGGCCCCTCTTACGTTGGGCCTAGATTGATTTTTGTTAAAAAAATGGCAACTTGGACTACAACTAACAAAGTGTGAATTTTCGAGTCTATCGTTGTGGGTGAAATTGTATAATGCTCCTTTCAAGCTTTGGACTGAAGAGGGTTTGGGTTACATTGCTAGCATCGTGGGAAATCCTCTTTATTTGGATGAGCCTACTTGCAAGAGAAGCAGACTTACGTTTGTGAGAATATGTATTGAAATGCCAGCAAATAAAGAGATCTCTAAATCTTTCAAAATAAATCTTGGTTATGGTGACCCGTATGAGATTCAAGTTGAGGTTCCATGGAAGCCTCAAAGGTGTGATGTTTGTAAAACTTTTGGTTATACCATTAATTTGTGCCCTCAAAAGCCAAAGGCTTTGAACCCTCCCTCTTTCAAACAAGAGTGGAGAGTCAAGGAAACTAAAATATAAATTCCGACTAAATAGGAAGTGGTGAAGAAAAAGGGGAGAGATGGTGGGCAAGGTTTCAACGACGGTGATAAACACAGAGAGAGAGAGACGCAGTCTTCCGCCTCCTCAACATCTAATGCCTTTGATGTCCTTGAATCGTGTGATATGGGAGAGTTAGGGAATGGAGAATTAAGTCAAGAGTTGTTGTGCCAAATAAAGAGCCTAAAAAATAGAGGGAGTCTATCTCCAAGTGACCCCAGTAATGGGGAGACTACAAAGGAGGATAACAGAAGAAAACTCAAAGCGAAACTTCATAGCTTGAAGAGTGCTAGAGGGAAATTTTGAATCCTTTTTGTTGTGAATGTTGTATTTGTCTTCTATAGGCTTAGTTTTGTTTCTTTTGATGGAGCAATTGTTTTTTTTTTTTTTAATTTTGTTCTCTCTACAAAAGATGTATATTGAATTTCATTGTATATGTTAAAATTTACCATCACCTACCACCAATTTACCATCACCTACCACCACCTACTCCTCACCTACTCCTCACCTACTACACTCACCCTCTCCTATATAATGAGCCACTCACCATTTGTAATATACACAATAAACATATCAATCAATAATACATATATTTTTTCATGGTATCAGAGCAGGGTTAAAGAACCTGATCATTCTGCTTCACTGGCGGGCGGCAGCCTCGCCTTGGCTGCCCGCCGGACCGCTACACATATCTTCATTCCGCTGCTGCCACAAATTATTCTTCTTGATTTTGATCTTCTTGTTGTTGCTGCTGCTGCAGTAGTTTCTAACAAATTCCATCTTGGTCACCTCCACTCCACTCTGTAAAATCACCACCTCCATCGGCGTCGTCCAAGTCGGCAACGGCAGCTTCGGAAGCTACCCTTCTTCCATCATCGTCGCCTAGCGACGGTGGCAGGTCCAATTCCTCCAACCACCCTCCATTTCTGCTGCCACCAGTGCGCCACTGTCATCTCCTCCTCCTCACTCACCTCGATTGCTCCATCTTCTCATCCACTACCAGCACCACTCCGATCACCGCCAATAATCACTGCAACAGCAGCCGCAGAAGCACCGCATCTGCCACCGTGAACATCCTTACCAGTTCAATCATCAACCCCAAGTCTCTCCTATCACTATTGTTCTAACAAACTTTGATTTCTCTCCTCCACACCAAAACAGCACTGCAATCTGTTATAGTGTTGCAGAAAACAACGGAGGAATGCACTATCTCTCTCGGGGGTTGGATAGATAAGAGAGAGTTGGGGCTAAAAACAACACAGCACTAGCCTCTCTCCCTGTGGTGTTCATGTGAGTGATGTTCATGAGTGATATTGTTTAGAGAGAAAATGGGTTGAGAGGAGAGAGCTCTTTTGATTTTTGGGTTGAAAGCACACACAGAGATTTTGGGAGAGAGAAGGAACAAAGCCATGAAAAAAAAAAAAAAAAAGAAAAGAAAGAAAGACTGAGACACAACACACACCCAGCAGACAGAGGCACATGCATACACAATACACATGCACTTTATGATTCCTTATTCCACCCACCAGCGCATGCTTTCCCATTAATACCTTTTTCTTATTATTTTTTTATTATTATTCTTATTATTCTTCCCACCAAAAAAAAAAAAAAAAAAAAAAAAAAAAAAAAAAAAAAAAAAAAAAACAAACACTTTGCTGCTCAACACTTAAGAGCTTGCAAGGTGGTTGGTGTAGAACTTGCATTACCAATGAATCGGTACATGACATGCTACCACCGCCAATCCCTGATGCCCTCGTCAAGGAGACATTACCTTGCCTGCCTTTATGTTTGTCCGTTTCCCTACTCATGGGAACCTGCCCCGTATAAACACCAACCTTAGTGCGGACCCCACAATGAAAGTGCATGGTGTAAGTCCCACGTACCATCCCTATCAGAGTGCCCTTAGGCTAGCTCTGATACCACTAGCCACGAACTCTCTCTCTCTCTCTCTCACACACACACACAAAAATCCACAAAAGTATATACAAAGAATCTAGCATGGCAATAGGGATACCTTTGACCCGAATCCATGCACTTGCAGTGCTATATTGGGTATATAAATTACAACTTGCTCCAACCTGAATTAGCTAATATAGAGATTACCAAATATACTGAAAATGCTTTGAAAGTCAACCCCACCTTCCTCTTGGTAGTTGTTATCCACTAAATGGGTACCCTCACAAAAGAAAATATGCATTCAAGTGCCTACAATGATGGCTTTAATTTCACATTTTTTTACAAAAAATAATAGACAATACCTTACCAGAGCATTTATTCAAAACAGAGAGATTTCTCTATCTCTTTTCATTATGTGAAAATTTGGGCAGAGAAACTTTGGAAAATTTTGCTTCAGGATGTTATCTCCATTGATAATAGCTTTTTTATTTTTAAAGTAAAAAGTGAAGAGGCTAAGGACAAAATTTTGGAAGATGGCCCCTCTTACGTTGGGCCTAGATTGATTTTTGTTAAAAAAATGGCAACCTGGACTACAACTAACAAAGTGTGAATTTTCGAGTCTGTCGTTGTGGGTGAAATTGTATAATGCTCCTTTCGAGCTTTGGACTGAAGAGGGTTTGGGTTACATTGCTAGCATCATGGGAAATCCTCTTTATTTGGATGAGCCTACTTGCAAGAGAAGCAAACTTATGTTTGTGAGAATATGTATTGAAATGCCAACAAATAAAGAGATCCCTAAATCTTTCAAAATAAATCTTGGTTATGGTGACCCGTATTCAAGTTAAGATTCCATGGAAGCCTCAAAGGTGTGATGTTTGTAAGACTTTTGGTTATACCATTAATTTGTGCCCTCAAAAGCCAAAGGCTTTGAACCCTCCCTCTTTCAAACAAGAGTGGAGAGTCAAGGAGACTAAAATATAAATTCCGACTAAATAGGAAGTGGTGAAGAAAAAGGGGAGAGATGGTGGGCAAGGTTCAACGACGGTGATAAACAGAGAGAGAGAGACGCAGTCTTCCGCCTCCTCAACATCTAATGCCTTTGATGTCCTTGAATCATGTGATATGGGAGAGTTAGGGAATGGAGAATTAAGTCAAGAGTTGTTGTGCCAAATGACGAGCCTAAAAAATAGAGGGAGTCTATCTCCAAGTGACCCCAGTAATGGAAAAACTACAAAGAAGGATAACAGAAGAAAACTTAAAGCGAAACTTCATAGCTTGAAGAGTGTTAGAAGGAAATTTTGAATCATTTTTGTTGTGAATGTTGTATTTGTCTTCTATAGGCTTAGTTTTGTTTCTTTTGATGGAGCAATTGTTTTTTTTTTTTTTATTTTGTTCTCTCTACAAAAGATCTGTATTGAATTTCATTGTATATCTTTCTCCTATATAATGAGCCACTCACCATTTGTAATATACACAATAAACATATCAATCAATAATACATATATTTTTTCAGTATATCTTTCTTTTTTGGTTATAATATGACTTTCTTATCCAAAAAAAGAGAGATTTCTCTGCTGAAAGCAGATAGATCAATCATCCGGGATGACCCTCAAGAAGACATAAATCAGCTAAGAGTATAGTTGGCTTATTAAATAGAATTACAAATAGTAGGCAGTCCCTCTACTTCACTGTAGAGATGGATATCACCTTAATGTTTGAGGGAGATGCACATTTTAGTGAATCATATTGACAGAAAATGGTTTATTAAATATAACTACATGCTACCAACCACAGTAATAACAATCTCACACCCTTAAATGATGACAATTAAACTAAAGTATGAACTCTGCGTTTCAACAAGTCCAGACTGAAGAAACCAGAGAATGAATCTGAATCCAGTGAGCTATGAAACTTATGTATAGTTGGTATAGATCTCTGATAATGGTCATTGATAATTGCAAGCTCCTCACTGCCTGGTAAGCCCATACAACCTTGTTGTCTTCAATTTTTTGTCTCAGTCCATACAACCTCCTCTTCTTCTTCTTGTTCAATTCTCTATCTCTCATACAAATCCACAGAAGTATATACAAAGCAGCTAGCAAACCATTAGAGATACCTTTGACCTCAATCTATGTGCTTGCAGTGCTATATTGGGTATATAACTTACAAATTGATCCAACCAAAATTAGCTAATATGGAGATTACTAAATATATTGAAAATGCTCTGAAAGTCAACCCCGACCTTCCTCTTGGTAGTTAATATCCATGTCTTTAATTTTACATTGTTTACAAAATAACAGAGAATACCTTACCCAAACATTTATTGGCAATAGATAGATTTTCTCTGCTTAAAGATAATAGATCAATCATCGGGGGATCACCCTCCAGCAGACAAGAATCAACTTAAGAGTATAGTTGGTATATTAAATAGAACTACAAATAGTAGGTTAGTCCCTCTACTTCACTGTAGAAGTGAATTTCATCTTAATGTTTGAGGGAGATGCTGATTTTAGCAACTCACATTGGCAGCAAATGGTTTATAAAATTGAACTACATGCTACCAGTATAATTATAATTGCATCATTAGATGATGATGACAATCAAACTAAAGTATAGACTCTACGTTTCATTGATGATGGTGTTTCCATCATTGTCTCTCTTTAAATGGGGGTTGAGAAGCTTGAGCAAAGACCACTTTACAAAGACGGTTACACTTAATGGAATTATCCATCAAGGACTTGAACAAATAGCCCTTATTACCATTCTACATTCTTATCTTACATTACAGCTATGTGTAAGTAAGAGGTGCACAATAATCCCATATAAATCTGATTATTGTTTAATGCCTAAACAAATCGAGCAACAACCAATCGGGTTTTCACAAACCAAAATCCATTGATATTAGGAAAAATTCTAGCACTCTAAAACCGGCACTGGATTCCATCTATATTTTGGCATGAAATGCTAACGGCATGGATTTAGAATTAAAATATAAAAATTTATTTGGCAAATAGACCTTGAAATGAAAAGGTGTAATTTTTCGAAGAAAAATATTCAAAAATTAACTAGTAATCATGAAGTTGAATCTATCCCTATGCAGTCAAATCATGGAATATCAAAATCCTAGCAAACCAAGCATGTCACGATACATTGATTTCACGTTTCAATATTGATTATCCAATCAAACAGAAAACATAGAAGACAAAATGATTATCTAATTAAACAATCACAAATTCACTCAATATATAAATTGAGAGAGAAATCAGAAGAGGAAAGTGAGGAATCGAACAACAAACCACCGTATCCATCGGAAGATTCCCAAGGATAGAACCCAAACGGATCGTCGCCAAGGAAATTGCCGGAGTTGGAAGCTTTGGCGCTGATAGAGAAGAAACGAGGCGTGGAATGGGGGCAAACAAAAGAGAAACTACGGAGCGAATATAGGGGAGATGAGGAGAGAGAGGAATATGAGGTTTCTTTGGAGCGAGAAATTGAGGAGAGAGAAGAGGAGAAGGTGCAGAAGCACAGAGCTGAAGTTTCCGCCATTGAAGAGAGAGAGAGAGAGAGGCTTAGGGAATTGCTCCGGAGTTAATTGATGGAATTGGGGAATCTGAGGAATGGAGAGAGGAATGGGAATGGAAAAGGGAGCGAAGGGAAAATTAAAAAAGAGAAAAAGGATAGAACATTTGGACGCCACATGTTGTGTTGTTTTATGACATGGATGGGAAGCTTGGGAACCAGGTTCGGAACGGTTGGTCGGTTGGTTCTTCACCTCCCTCCTCTCTTTTGTTTTTTTCTCGCAACTTTCGCAAGAATTTTCTCAGGAAAATGATAATTTGGATGGATTATATTCATAGAAAAATTAAAGGATCTATCATATTTAAAAGAAATTAATATACTTTATTAGTTTGTAAATGTTATGATTTATGTATAATAATAGATAAACAAGAAATTTACGTACTATAGCATTTTATTGTCTTTTCATTCTATATTCAAATACTAATTATTAAAAAATTGATTATCACATTTTTAATAAAATTTTTGTTTGTATATCATTTCTCTACATATAAAAATAATATTAATTTACTCAAAAAAATATAGGGGATTTTTTTAACAAACCAAAATCAATTGATATTGGGAAAAATTCTAGCACTCTAAAACCGGCACTGGATTCCATCTATATTCTGGCATGAAATGCTAACGGCATGGATTTAGAATTAAAATATAAAAATTTATTTGGCAAATAGACCTTGAAATGAAAAGGGGTAATTTTTCGAAGAAAAATATTCAAAAATTAACTAGTAATCATGAAGTTGAATCTATCCCTATGCAGTCAAATCATGGAATATCAAAATCCTAGCAAACCAAACATGTCACGATACATTGATTTCACGTTTCAATATTGATTATCCAATCAAACAGAAAACATAGAAGACAAAACGATTATCTAATTAAACAATCACAAATTCACTCAATATATAAATTGAGAGAGAAATCAGAAAAGGAAAGTGAGGAATCGAACAACAAACCACCGTATCCATCGGAAGATTCCCAAGGATAGAACCCAAACGGATCGTCGCCGAGGAAATTGCCGGAGTTGGAAGCTTTGGCGCTGATAGAGAAGAAACAAGGCGTGGAATGGGGGCAAACAAAAGAGAAACTACAGAGCGAATTTAGGGGAGATGAGGAGAGAGAGGAATAAGAGGTTTCTTTGGAGCGAGAAATTGAGGAGAGAGAAGAGGAGAAGGTGCAGAAGCACAGAGCTGAAGTTTCCGCCATTGAAGAGAGAGAGAGAGAGAGGCTTAGGGAATTGCTCCGGAGTTAATTGATGGAATTGGGGAATCTGAGGAATGGAGAGAGGAATGGGAATGGAAAAGGGAGCGAAGGGAAAATTAAAAAAGAGAAAAAGGATAGAACATTTGGACGCCACATGTTGTGTTGTTTTATGACATGGATGGGAAGCTTGGGAACCGGGTTCGGAACGGTTGGTCGGTTGGTTCTTCACCTCCCTCCTCTCTTTTGTTTTTTTCTCGCAACTTTCGCAAGAATTTTCTCAGGAAAATGATAATTTGGATGGATTATATTCATAGAAAAATTAAAGGATCTATCATATTTAAAAGAAATTAATATACTTTATTATTTTGTAAATGTTATGATTTATGTATAATAATAGATAAACAAGAAATTTACGTACTATAGCATTTTATTGTCTTTTCATTCTATATTCAAATACTAATTATTAAAAAATTGATTATCAAATTTTTAATAAAATTTTTGTTTGTATATCATTTCTCTACATATAAAAATAATATTAATTTACTCAAAAAAATATAGGGGATTTTTTTAAGATCACTGGTATTAAGATTTTATAATATAAATGACACTCAATATTTTCATAATGTCTAAGGTCCCTCAACATCTGGACGAATTTTCTCTGGACTTCACAGAGAATTTTTCTGGTCGAATTTTCTTTGGACTTCACAAAGAAAATCTAGTTCACAGAGAATTTCTCTAGACGAATTCTTTGGACTTCACAGAGAAATTTTAATTCACAAAGAATTTCTCTGGTCAAATTTTCTCTAGACTTCACGAAGAAATTCTGGTTTTCATTATTATTGAGAATTTCTCTGGACTATAAATTTGAATTGTTGAGAATTTATCTGGACTATAAATCTGTAATTTATTGCAGGGTGCATTCACAAGGCTTCATTATTATTCAAAAGCAAAAGAGAAACAATAATTATAAGCAAACCAGAGAATTTGGGAAAGATGAGGAATGAAGTTGGAAGAAATTTTCTCTAGTTGCCTCTTTAGGTGCTGAAGAAACTTCAGGGGCCTTATTCACCATAGGCTCGGGTTGTACTCCTCATCACCTTCATCAAGAATGTCTTCTTCACTTTCACTTTCCTGTAATTCAACATTACATTTGAGTGATAGTTTTCCAAGACTCAACATTTTTTTTAACCACCTATTTATATAATGCCACAAGTGAAAAACATATAAATCCTGAACTGCTCAAAATTAGGAAAACTTCACTCAACTCAACGAGCCTTTGCCCCAAATACTCAAGGTCGCTACATGGATCTATCTCTTCCAAACCAAAAAAATATTAAAAGACAACAAAACAAAAGAGAACGGAACTATTAATCAAGAAGTAAAAGTTATAATTGATATATGTATATGTATTTATATTACAGGGTAAATCTACATCAGATACAAATTCTAAAATTTTACATAGAAGGCTTGTTTCAGTCAAGTATCATAATATTAATTGTTGAATGGTCTCCAATTGATAGCATGAATGCAAACAGAAATTCCAACCTATCTTCATTCTTGGACCCTGCTTCTTAATATTGTGAAAACAGTTTTCAACTTTTATGACTACATCTCCTACGCATTGAGATAGAACCAACCCAAGCCAATGATTCTACCTCAACAAGCAATCATCATTCTACAGAAACCACAATACCATTGTCAAATATGGTGCAAACCTCAAATATTATGGATAGAAAGTCGTTCATAAAGAAATTATTGTTTTGTCAAAACTAAAGCTTCATTTGTCTCAATGGAAAATAACAAATTAAAAGCCTATCATCTGAAAACTCGATCTAAAGAAAATTACCAAATCTAGAGAAAATTCAAGAGTAATCCAGAGAAAATGCCAAATCCAGATAAAATTTGATCTAGAGAAAATTCAAGGGTAATCCAGAGAAAATTGTCAAATTCAGAGAAAATTTGATTCAGAGAAAATTGCCAAATCTAGAGAAAATTTAAGGGTAATCCAGAGAAAATTGCCAAATCCAGAAAAAAGTGGCCAAATCTAGAGAAATTTTGGCAATCCAAAGAAATTCAACAGTGTCAAGCTTGTAGGAAACATTGTATTCAACATTATCAACACAAACAATATATGCATACATATGCATATATATATGATACATACATATATATACACATTTATCAACAATGAGGAGATAAATAAGCAGCACATTCTAAAACTTGTTTTCCAATGCTCCCATCAAAAACGAATCTAAAGACATTAACATATGAAAGCAGAAAAAACACAGGAAAGTTGATTAAGAAAATATCACAAGTTTAGATCTGAGAGAAATATATGAAATTCCAAGTCTCTTTCTTTTCCTGTAATTTCTCCACAAAGAAACCAAGTAAATAAACAATAGCCTGTTTACGTTACAGGCACTGATTGTGTTTAGATGGGCTAAAACGAACCTGATACAATATCTATATCCAATCTAGCATTTGAATGTGTTAAAAGCTCAGATGGTACTTTGGACGTCTAATCCTCCAGATTTATACATCACCTCTTCAAGGGACACAAGCATCCATATAATGCATGGCTATCCAAGTCTTTGGATAACGAAAACAATCGTTAGTCTTTCTGGTTAAACTTCCCACTCCCAACCAAAAATCCCTCTCTCCACTTGTCACGGACTGGGCAATTGTCATCCTCCCGAGAAACCGGCTCTATGAGTGGTATTGCATACCCTGTGCATTAAGCCCAAGGATCTAACCCAGGTGATGCAATAGAGATCTACACTTAATTGCACGAAGAGGGAGCAGGGGAACATGGCCACTTAGAGTCGTCGTAGATTAGAAGTGCTTACAGAGTGATAATGGAGTGATATTATTATATATGATTTAATTAGATTTCTTTTAAGCAATTAGATGATTTATTTTATTTATTATATGTTAAAAAGTTAAGAAATAATAATTTACTAAAATTATTATTATATATGATATTTTAAGAAATAACAATTAGACATTTTATTATATATGATAAAATTATAATTTATAAATTTTATTATATATATTATATACGATAAATTTTACTATTTTATACTATATATATTATATATGATCAATTATATTATATAAAATAAATTATATTAAAACACACACACACACACACACACAGAGAGCAGAGAACAAATCGAGAGACAGAGAGAGAGAAGCTCAGACACGAAAAGAGAGAGAGAAGTTCAAAGACGAAGAGGAGATCAAGAGTGAGAGAAGAGAGAGAGAGAGAGAGAGACGAAGACAATCGAGATCGATAGTGAGAAAAGAGAGTGACGAAGATGATCAAAAAGAGAAAAAGAACGAAAGACAGAGATTGAGAAGAAAAGAGAGAAAACAAGAGGTAGAGAGAGAAGAAGATCGAGAGTGAGGTCGAGATCGAGAGTGAGGTCGAGATCGAGAGCTTGAGATCTTGATCGCTTCCTTCTCGCATCAAATTCGTGTTTCTCACTCCTCAAACTCACGATTCTTCTCCAATTCTTCCTCAAAAGCGCAAAATCGTGCTTCTTCCTCAGATTCGTGAGTGTCATCCACGATTCCTGCTACTAAAGATCTACCTTGCCTACTTTGCTGCTCAACACTTAAGAGCTTGCAAGGTGGTTGGTGTAGAACTTGCATTACCAATGAATCGGTACATGACATGCTACCACCGCCAATCCCTGATGCCCTCGTCAAGGAGACATTACCTTGCCTGCCTTTATGTTTGTCCGTTTCCCTACTCATGGGAACCTGCCCCGTATAAACACCAACCTTAGTGCGGACCCCACAATGAAAGTGCATGGTGTAAGTCCCACGTACCATCCCTATCAGAGTGCCCTTAGGCTAGCTCTGATACCACTAGCCACGAACTCTCTCTCTCTCTCTCTCACACACACACACAAAAATCCACAAAAGTATATACAAAGAATCTAGCATGGCAATAGGGATACCTTTGACTTGAATCCATGCACTTGCAGTGCTATATTGGGTACATAAATTACAACTTGCTCCAACCTGAATTAGCTAATATAGAGATTACCAAATATACTGAAAATGCTTTGAAAGTCAACCCCACCTTCCTCTTGGTAGTTGTTATCCACTAAATGGGTACCCTTACAAAAGAAAATATACATTCAAGTGTCTACAATGATGGCTTTAATTTCACATTTTTTTACAAAAAATAATAGACAAAACCTTACCAGAGCATTTATTCAAAACAAAGAGATTTCTCTGTCTCTTTCCATTATATGAAAATTTGGGCAGAGAAACTTTGAAAAAATTTGCTTCAGGATGTTATCTCCATTGATAATAGCTTTTTATTTTTAAAGTAAAAGGTGAAGGGGCTATGGACAAAATTTTGGAAAATGGCCCCTATTACGTTGGGGCAAGATTGATTTTTGTTAAAAAATGGCAACCTGAACTAAAACTAACAAAGTGTGAATTTTCAAGTGTGCCGTTGTGGGTGGAGTTGTATAATGTTCCTTTGGAGCTTTGGACCGAAGAGGGTTTGGGTTACATTGCTAACATCGTGGGAACTCCTCTTTATTTGGATGAGCCTACTTTCAAGAGAAGCAAACTTACATTTGTGAGAATATGTATTGAAATGCCAGCAAATAAAGAGATCCCTGAGTCTTTCAAAATAAATCTTTGATATGGTGACCGGTATGAGATTCAAGTTGAGGTTCCATGGAAGCCTCAAAGGTGTGATATTTGTAAGACTTTTGGTCATACCATTAATTTGTACCCTCAAAAGCCAAGGACTTTGAAACCCTTCCTCTTTCAAACAAGAGTGGAGAGTCAAGGAGACTAAAATATAAATTCCGACTAAATGGGAAGTGGTGAAAAAAAAAGGGGAGAGATGGTAGACAAGGTTCAATGACAGTGATAAACAAAGAGAGAGAGAGAGAGAGACACACACACACACAGTCTTCCGCCCCCTCAACATCTAAGGCCTTTGATGTCCTTGAATCGTGTGATATGAGAGAGTTAGGGAATGGAGAATTAAGTCAAGAGTTGTTGTGCCAAATGAAGAACTTAAAAAATAAAGGGAGTCCATCTCCAAGTGACCCCGGTAATAGGGAGACTACAAAGGAGGATAACAAAAGAAAACTCAAAGCGAAACTTTATAACTTGAAGAGTGCTAGAGGGAAATTTTGAATCATTTTTATTGTGAATGTTGTGTTTGTCTTCTATGGGCTTAATTTTGTTTCTTTTGATGGAGTAGTTGTTTTTGTTTAATTTTGTTCTCTCTACAAAAGATGTGTATTGAACTTCATTGTATATCTTTCTTTTTTGATTATAATATGACTTTCTTATCCAAAAAAAAGAGAGGGATTTCTCTGCT